CGCCTGTGCAGTGATCTTGTTGCACAGACCGGGACCTCGTCCGCCCTTTGACGGAATTAGCAGTCACATTGATAATAATATAATTGAGGGAGATGAATGGTTTTGTGTTCTGTTTTCACTCAACTTTGCGCCACACCATCGCCGTCCCTAGTATATCCTGCTACTTGCGTTCCCTCGTCTTTCTTTACTAGGTACCCTATGTATCCCTCCGACCCCCCCTGAGCTATACTTCCTTGTCGTCGATCGACAATCCAGATTTTTTTTTAAAAAAAAATCATGTTTGAAACTTTCGGGGGATTCTCAAACAAAACAACATCCAAAGACCCTGTCGATCCCCACACTGACGGGACGGAAGGGAAGGTGGGAGACAGCCGCCCCTTGTTTCTTTTTTGTAGCCAACCAGATACACCGAGCAAATAAACATAAAATGTACAACAATGGCCATGAACCACTAAATCGCTTTCAAAATGCTAACCCACCCAAGATGCTGCCTTTTTTTGTGACCTGATCCTTCTTTTCATAGTTTGTCTCCAGCCCCATACTCCTGCTGACCTTGCACCATGACGCCCACTCTTTTCCGCCCTGGGGTGGTGATTTACCGACGCTCCTGACCGTTGCAAGAGATGCGGAGAGATTGAGAAGAATGTTGACAAGGGTTGCCAGAATAGATAGCCCGTACTTAATATTACAGAGTATTGTGTCATGCAGCAACGCTTTCACTGAACAACTATTAAGTGATGTGCGTGTCAACGTTGTACGTTGCGTAGTCGACATGCACAAAAGCGCGGTCGACGATGGGCACTGACTCGAGGAAATACGTCAGAACTTCACTGAGATCGTGGCTATCCTTCAGAGGCATGTTGGCATTGAGAACAATGTCGACCTCAACGAAGAGCTTGTCGCCCGCGTGGTAAGCCCGCAGATTCTGGATCTGTTTGATGGACGTGGCGAAGCGCATGGTAAGGTAAAGGACTATCGAAGTAATGATGTTAGTTCATGGATGATTTTACTGAATGTTTGATGCATCAACTGGTCAACTGGCTCTATAGCTTGTAGTACGTGTTTAAGGTTTGAATGAAGGGAAAGAGGGAAAGAGGAAACAAAGGCATGACAAGGGGGTGTTATAACAGGGTCTAAGTATAGAAAATGTGGGGGAGACGAAACGGTAAGTTAAATGGCAAAAGAAGGGGACAAGAGAGGAAGAAAAGAAGTTACGCACGGAGGTTTCTCTCATCCGAAGTCGCCGAAAAGCCCGTCAGGTTTCGGACATGATGCATCGAGGTTCCGCTCCAGTTGACGATGACGACGAGAGACAGCAGAAGACCACCAAGGGCATCAAGCCACCAAATTTTGGCAAAGTAGCCAACAATGGGGAACAGAATGGAGCCAGTGTTGAAAATGACATCGGTCATGGCGTCGTCGGCCCTGCAGAATGGAGAAAACCAAAGAGTTAGTTATGAAAGTTCCCCATGTTCCATGATAGGCGCCGATCTGGAGGCGGCTACGTAAACCCGTTGCGACGCAAACGCTGAGGTTACGACGAAAGAGGAGCAGGGTGCCAGATCAACTTACAACGCCCGAACGCTCGAGTTCTTGATGAGACGACACCAGAGCCAGCACAAGCCCTTGATCACCACGGTACCAACCATAATGGAGATGGCCGGGATGCCGCTGTAGTTCCCGCGAGGTTAGCATTGCGAGTCTGCGAAAATTGCGGAGCGACTGAGACGTACAGCTGAACGATTTCGTGGTCGGGCGACATGAGACGCTGGATAGCTTCCAGAGCGACCTGGCAGAAGGATGTAACCATTACGATGGAGAAAACCAGCACGCCAAGAGGCTCGAGACTGTAGCGAGTCAGCACGCGGCTCGGAATGCAACGCGGAGGCAGCATCGCGAAAAAAAAAAGTAAGGGGGTAAAATTGATACTTACCGCTGTCTGCCCACAGGATATGAATGCTGGTCATTTTGGCTGGCGGCAATGAGCCTAGTTGTCGTCCACACAATTGCGGTGCTGAGAAAGTCGAGAACCGCGTCGACCAAACTGGCCAGGACTGAGACTGAAGGTACCGAAACGACGACAAGAATCTTTCCGATCAGCAAAGCTGCGTTTGCGATAAAATTGACCCAAATGGCCAAAGTGACGATGGGGTCGCTGCTGTCGAGGTCGGAGTCCTCGAGCCATGGGATCTCGGGCTTGGGCTGATCGGCTAAACCTTCCTCCTCATCAGAGCCACTGAGAAGTGGGGTCGCCTCGGTGGACCGAAAAATGTCCTTGGGTTTGCGTTTCGCCTTTTGCTGTATGCTGTTTGCCGAACTACTCTGCTCCGTGCTGCTGTTTTGGGCTGAAGCAGCAGTGCTGCCGTAGGTGAGTCCGCTTCTGGACGGTGGTGAGGTGGGAGTTGGCGACTCCTCGGTAATGGTCTGGGGGACATCGACTGGGCGATAGGCCGAGGCGTCTAGAGCTTGGTGATACTCGTTGAGCAGATCGTGGGGCACGGATGAATCCAAGAGCTGGTCGATGTAGAGGTACATGCGAATCAAATCGTTGTTTCTCTCGTAATATTCGCGGCTTTAGGAATTGACAATGCACATTAGCAACTCGCAACTCAACTCGCAAACTGGTACACGGAGAGCAGTCGACGGAGTAGGGGATTAGACTGTGAACCCCGAATTGCGCCTGGGCAATCCGGGGCGGCAAGATTGCACAGCAGGAACTCACATATGCTTTGGCATAACCTCAAGCTCGGCCTCCGTCTTCCAGTAGCGCTCCCATTGATAGCGCGGGTTGCTGTTGCCGATAAGGCGCATGCTCCTCATCTGAGGGCCGAAAATGAGTTCGCTTAGACGGCGCTCCTCGGCGGCGGAGCGGTGGTGGTGGTCATCGTCCGAGTCCCTGTGCAGGAAGCCAAGCAGAGAGGTGCTCTCATGTTCCTCTTCGTCGTGACCCAGCTGGTGGTAGGCCGGGCTCTTGAGCGACTCTCGCAGAGTGGCATTGGAGCGGTTCCGGATGAGCGATACCAAGGCGCCGCTGCCTCTGGTGGCCAGAAGTGATGGGTCGCTATCGGCATTGAGTACTGAGGGACGTTTGAATGAGCCTACTCGAGGGCTGCTCGAGCGATGATCCTGCGGCGAGCTCATCGTGGCCGGAGGAAAAGAAAGAGAGGCAATGACGGCAGAGGTCGAATTGGGGAGAGAGACGACCAGGGAAAAGGAACAGAGAGAATGGAGTGGAGCTAGGCGGAAGGGTAGGCAGGTGAAGTGAGTTTGAAGTGAAGGAGGAAGAGAGAGAGAAGAGGAAAAGGGAAGAGTAGCCGGCGCGATGCGAGGGAGAAGGCCAAGATAATAGATGAGATTGATAATCTCGTGGTCGGCGTGCAGCAGGCAGCTCCAAGCTATGAATTGGCAGGTCCCGGCGCGCGTGGACGTGTAAAAAAAGGCGGCCCCCCCCCCCCCAGTGACGGAGTATGCAGTATGGACCCGGAGGGTCTGAGGAGACGAGCAGCCGGCAAGGTAAGGTACTTACCGTGCAAGGCAAGGCAAGGCAAGGCAAGGCAAGGCAAGACGCGGCGAGACAGTGGGTTGGGGTCTGGGGGCTTGGTTTGGATGGGGAGGGGACCTTTTCGAGAGAGCTCACACTCGCGTAGAGCTTCCTGGGGCTACGATTCGACAAAACCAAGAGACGCTTGGGGAGCTTCACGGTACGGGCGTTGGCAGACCCGACCAATGTTGTATCGGAGGAGTGGCTACTGGCGTTTGAACCTGCGCAACGCCATGGATTCTGCTGTAGCTCCTCTGGGCGCTTTTCCAGGTACGTTGGTCCTTCTCTCTCTCTCCCCTTCTCTCGCTCTTTCTCGTTGTCTACAGAGTACCTATTTCGCTGATCAGATGGGCAACGAGGGAGCTCCCCTGTCATCATCGAGGCAAGGCAGACAGGCAAGGTAAGGTACCTTGGCCTATCTATCCGTACCTTAGTACCTGACTTACACTCAGTACGAGCACAGATACGTACGGATACATACACTACCTAAGGTAGTTTCGAGTTGCCCTTCCCATCCACCCGAAGAACGAAACCCCCCGGCCCTGGCCTCAGCCAGAAAAAAAAAAGGTTTGCCCATTTTCATTTCCAAGAACGCCCCCAGCCAACCAGGTCGCGACACTCTCAGTTGGGGCGAGGCAATTGTAGAAAAAGATTGGAGCTTTCAGCTGGAAAACGGGGACGTTCTCGCGCCAAGTTGCCTTTTGAGCCGGTGTCGGCCCTTCAGCATTGTCTCCCGTGTCTCGTTCTGCCATTCTGAATGGTCCCTCCATGGACCATAGGTAGGCCACCATCTCTTGAAGGTCCTCAGCAACCCACGGACTCTTGGGGTTTCTGGCACTTGGTGCAACATCAAGCCTCTCTCACCTTGGGGGGACACTCGAAACTAGGTTTGACCTTTCAGCTGCCGGGTTCATGACTTCATTGCATAACTTCGCCAGCCCTTCTTTTCCATCTTCTCTCTGAGCTCTGAACTCAACCAGAGCACTCGCACATACTCCGTACACATACGCACACATAAGTACCTTGTGGAGAGCTCACAGTCGCGCCAATACTTTCTCATCTCGTGAGATTGATTCGGCTAGTCCTGAGTGAAAAAAGTTGAGTACAGCCCCCAAGGGCCCCAACATGGCAAATTAGTGCCCTTCCCCCCCGACTCAACCTGCCCTTTTACCGCCACTTCCGAGTTCATAATCCATTTCAACCCCCCCGGCCCGCGTTCCCCCCATACTACGTACATACTCCGTATTGTCTTGCCTTTTTCCAGAGTTGGTTTAGCCGAGCACCAACTGACTAAGTTCAAACTATCTGAGGTACCCCCAGCTTTCAGGGCCCCCAATTGTCTTAACCATTCCCATCACTTACCAAAAGGAAACTCTACTCGAGCCACCGCCAAGATTCAGATCAAACGGTAACTGTTTGTTCCCAACTCGACCCTGCTTATCCCTTCCCCTTTCCTAGGTTAGGAACTCATCTTTCGAGACTCCTTCCGAGGCGCAGCACATCGGCAAAAACGGACAATCAAGTTGTCTCCCGTCTCAACTCCGGCATAAGAGACGACGGGGTTTCTAGTGACAATGCTTGCATAGCGCCGTGGCTTGGCATTACGGCATGTTTGATGGTAACCCAGGACTTGCGAATAGTCCCTAGACATTATCTGTATACATACTTGCAACCAAATAGTGACAGCAAGACAGAGAGGACGATATACTCTTGTCATTCAACGCCAAAAAGACTCAAGAAACCCTGGCTCAACTCCCACGTTTACCCAATTCCTTCAGCCCTGCACCCGTCATTGGCTCCTCAATAAGGAAGTTGGTTAGGGGTTCCCCTCCCCTCCCCTCCCCCTCCCCGGGCCGTGGACCTGCAGAACATCTCAGCAGAGCCGCATCTTCTTCCCATTCGCAGCAACTTTTGGCGAACCTTTTTTTTTTTTTTTGTACCTGGCCGTCATCACCTGATTCAACTGATGAGGGGCCCTCCGCTTCGGCTCCGGCTCCGGCTTCCCTTTCATAATCACGACAGCTTATCCTTTCCACACTCCAAAAAAAGAATAAAAATACACGATTCGGAGACTGGCACGGATGCACCCCCGTTTTGCTGGCTTCGGCTTTGGTTGCTGCCCGGACATGGGCACCAGGCCGAACTCGAGCCGATTCGGGGCTTGAGCTCCATTCTTGTGATGGACGATGTTATTCACGTCTTCCGTTCTTTGGGACGCAATAATTGTTGCCAGAAGCTCTTCTTCTTCTTCTTCTTCTCCCCGAGGTCTTCCTACTGCCTTCAGATCATCAGTAACCGACAAAAGACCACCAGAGATCATGACTAGGGATGTCGCTTGGCGGCCGCATCCCGAGATCTGTGGTCCATTGGCTCAGAGATTTGTTTCATTGAGTGTTCCCCCGATAGATCTGAGCTGAGTATTAGATGGGCAACTGCGCCTGTCCATAATTTGATGACTCTTTGAGGGCCAATGAACGCTCGCCCAGCCTTTGACTCCGGATTTTGCGTGAAGCCAACATAACTGGCCATATAAGCTGGGCACTGCATCTGGAAGAGACCAAAGGAGCTGGCGCCAGAAACTGAATCTAGGCTCATACAACACCTAGCGGTGAGTCTGATTGATGACGTGTGACGATGTTGAAGTCTTGTGTCACGAAAGCTTCCCAACGTCTTTGCCCCATTACTGCCAATGTTTCGATCTATTGCTTCTTCCTTTCCAAAATCTCCTGCACGACCTTTGCGGTGGCCTTGACAATGAGACCGTGTTCGACGCTGTGCATTCGCTCTTCCACATCTGCCAGACTGTCACCCGAGCGAATCTCAACCTCCTCAATGAGGATCTATCACGGCCGTTCGTCAGCATAACATGCGACTGGGGAAGGGGGAACACCTCCGGGAGTAGACGAACAGGCTCTCCACGGTCCACCGTCTCAATGACATAGTGAATCATTGCTCCGGTCCGGTTGTTCTCAAGCTTGCCGGCCTGGAAATCTTCGTATGCCCTTCCAATCGCATTGGCACCATCATAACGGCCTGACGAGCAGTGTTAGTCACATAATCTTGCACACATCACAAATTTCCCCCTTTTCCCCCTTCTGCCTCTAGAGCATCACAGGGAGTTCAGAAAACCTACCAGGCAGCGCCGGATGAAGATTAATGACCGGAACCCCAGCAGCCTCCAACGGCCGCAAAAACGGCGCGCTAAACACGTGCATCCACCCGGCGAGGACGACGAGGTCCGGCTTATCCTCCAGCACGAGCTCGGCCAGCGCCGCGTCGTACCGGCCACGGCCCTCGCGCAGCTTCGCCTCGTCCTTTTCGCCCTTGGCCGTGAAGCCGCCCGAGACGAGGTTGAAGTACCGCGTCGGGATGCCCGCCTTCTCCGCGCGCTGGACGGCGTAGGCGGTCTTGCGGTTCACGATGACCTTTTCAATCTTGCTTCGCGGTACGGTGCCGTCGGCGACTGCGTTGATGATGGCTTGCAGGTTCGTGCCGGAGCCGGAGCAGAGGACCACGAGGCGGCAGGTTTCGGTGGTGGATGATGACGACATGGTTAGATGTGTGAGGTCGGTGAATGTGAGTGTGAGTGTGAGATACTGGGTTCGAGTGAGTTGCCTTGATCTAGGGGCGAGTAGAAGTGAGTTCGAGTCTTCTTTCCTTGGAGGGGTAACTCTCGAGATATTCTGGTTGAGCGGGTCTCGCCGTTTCTGTGACCAATTTGGATGTCCAAGTGTGGGTGAAACAAAAAGGCAGCAATTTTGAAGCTAATTTCACAGAGCCCGGGGGGTCACGCTTTTCCCGACCTCTTGAATCTTGTGGATGTTTTCTCGGGGTTCAAATGCTTGTCATGGGGGGGGGTTTTGGCGTCTCGTTACACAAAGTATTCACTTCAAAGTCATGAGGTTGTGCCATGCGCCAGAAGTTTAAAAAAAAATTCTGTGAGCGCATCTGAGAAAGGGCGGGGTAGCTTGTCATTGGCCGGGCTGTCACTCGGGGCGGGAACCAACCAAATTGTGGTTTGAAGACGGCCTGGGAGACTGAATGTTCGGTGCTACCGGTCGCTCTTGCTTGAGTTTTCACTCACTCAGGTTTACATGTGAGCACTGCAGGTTCACTCAACTCATCGGGAAAAAAACGCGCCAAGAACATTGAGGTACACCAAGATTCGATGTCGACTATGAGTTGCAAGTGAAGCATTGTAGAAAATGAGAGCTACTAAGCTGGGTAGCATCCTTCAAGATTTTGGCCATCGTCCAGGGTGAGGGCAATTTGATGGTTTGAACATACGGTAGGAGGCTTTATGAGTCTGGGTGAAAGGAATAATGTGGCTAGAAGATGAAAAGAAACAAGAAATTTCAATGTCGGGCTAACCTACAGCCAAGCACAGAGCTTAGTAGTCGAATCTAGCCCGAGGCCGCGCCCAAGAGCCCTGGCTGGTGGATTGCTCGGGAGGATTGCAATGTTTCCACTCACATAGTATTACTTGGGCAACAAGCAATAGTGAGACGGGGCCCAAGAGCTCGTATCTCGTGATGTTACCCATTTCGTGATAAGAAACCACGTTCGGTTTTCACCGCTCCATTTGATGACGAGCAATTCTCCGACAACGGACATGGCCGGTGTGTCCCCATCAGACACGACGTCTAACGCGAGAGATTGACAGCATAGGTTGCTGCTTCGAAATGGCCTTGGCTCTTTAATTCTCCCTAGCCTGACTGTATGAGCTTGTTATGAATTGTCTCTTACCGACGGACCTTTAGTCTAACCATGGTGAATGGCCTATTTGTAAACCGAATTCCCACATGAGGCATGAGCTCAAGGCAATAAAAATGCGTTGCGGCTTGCTCATGCACCCACGAGCGGCCATCGTCAGATCTGTGATCTCCGACCCCTGCCAACCAGAAGCGCCCGCATGCGCCATACTCGGACGCGAAAGTACACTAGAGGCCCGGCCCCTCAACGGCGGAGAGCAGCAAGACGCCGTTTGACCGTCCATTTCCGCAGGGGAACAAACCTTCCTAAACAGGGATCAAGTCTGGGGCGGTAAGGCAGCCGACGAGACCAAGACGGACCAAACCAACACGGGTGTTCAAGGCGACATGAACATTCCCCCTTTGAGCCTCGCCCTGGCATGTATTGGTAGCAACGCAGGATGCGCAGCAAGTGACGGAGCTTTAATCCGCCGACTATTGACGAGGGTGTGCCAGTGTGAGTGCAATCCATTTTCTTTGGAGTGTTCTCCCTTTTTCTTGCATCGTGGTGCCGCATTATTGAAAGCTCATGGAATCGGATCGGGGCAATGACCAGTTAGTTCGCTGTCATCGGCTCGGATTGGGTCGACCTGTCTCGATCGAATCTCGGCCGTGCCATGTTGAGATTGAATTATTGACGAACGGGATTGGCTAAGTTGCAATTAGGCTACTCCGGCCTGGGCAGCGGCCTACAGGCCAAAGCGCGACGGACAGTTGCAGAGCGGGAACGGACGTGATGGTTGTCCTACTGCCTCGACGGCTATGCGCGTACGGATGGATACTTGGAAGTGGGAATTACAAGACGTCGTCGACGTAGGCAAAGGTAGGTAGAACCGTAAAATGTATCTGTCCGTGGCAGGTTACGCCAAAAATCCTACTGTGCACAATATGCTAAGGTACTTTTATTTCTTATTCGTACATCAACTTCGATAAGGCCATCATCGGGGGGTGGCTTTGCTTGTTACTTACATCATTTTGTGGGTTCTCCCATGTACCAAAATCGCCCTGGCAGGATTTCAAGATGGAATTTTGAAATCTTATGGAGACAGCGCAGCTTCCTAGTCGTGCTAGTATACTATATTTGATGGAGGACTATCCTTAAGAGACGGCGTAAATCTCTTTTAGCTGCCAGCTTGCAGGGTTTTTTTTTTTTTTTTTTTTTGGTTTTTTGGTTTTTTGGTTTTTTCCCCCCCTTCTGGTACGGTCAGAGAATCCAACGAATGGGCTGGAGCTGCGAGTTGTCGATACGAGGCAACTGGGTACGTGTGCGGAAAATAGAAGCTGTGGAAAAGGGATTGACATTCACAACAAGTCCGCAACCCTGCAGGTAGGTGGAGAGGTGTGAGTTGGCCCGTTCCAGGTTGAAGACCCTCATCAGCGGCCTTCCAAGTTCCATTTGACTCTTCAGTCTCGACTCTCAAGGCAGAGTGCCATAAGTCTTCACTCAGCCAGAGAAACCGCGTCACTGTCAGACCTTCCGATGGGTACCTTATTCGGGAAGTGGAGGGGTAAAGAAGGACACGAACTTGCTAAGGGACAGGCCGACGGGACGTCCCTTTGTCCCCTCTCACATTTTCCGTGTGTCGTTCCTTCCTGCTTCTTCAGAAAGCACGCCACTTCAGTTGATGAACTACGGATGTCAATAAGGGAAGGCACCTTACCCAACTTAAGGCAGGTAGCCATGGCATGGTTGCAAAAGCATCAACAGTACGGATAAAGTACCTCCTCAACCCGAAAGACACACCTTCATTCACCTTTTCACACACGTCTTCGCCAGATATCAGCCACAGGTGGCAGCAGTAGTAAAGTACAGACAAAGTGACAAGTAGAATCTTGGTGCCTGAAGGAACCACTATTCAAGCTTCCAGGACAGTCTGTCTTCAGTGTTTGGGGAGACCTTCTGGGGCTACGAGAGTAGCGTCACGCTAACGCCCCATCTCGGACATGCTCTTGCATCTTCCTCTCATTCGTGTTTAATCTCTTATGCCAAGGTATTATCAAGGCCGGAGCACCAGGTATATCCTGTCCGGCGGCTCTTTTCAAGTATTCGTCCTTGGGAATTATGGGCCAAAGTCGTGATCGGAACAAAAGTACCGATAGATGGCGACATAGGTATCCGTCTTGACAGCGGCGATATGAGTTGAAATAAAGATTCGGGAGAGCTTCTCCCAAGTATCCCGCTTTGCTCTTGTCCTGGTCAATTCTGTTTTGCGTGATTGCGGGATGGAATTGTCCTATAAGCGGCCGGGGCATACCTACGAAGAGCAATGGAGGTCCAAGCAAGGTACCTTGCAGCGGCAGCCCATGCTCATGATACCAACGTTACCAAAGTAAGGTACATACATAGGTACTTTCGTCAGGTGCCAGCCTCCAGGTCCACCCTCTCCTCGGGAGCCTCCAGCCTGCCTTCCACACCGGTCAACTTCCCCTTCCAGGCTCTTGCCCCTCGCCTCCATTCACGCCCCCTCCCACATCGCAATTGGCAACCTCAAATCTTCAATTCAGCGAATCGGCATACGATTCGCCTCCCACAGGCTCTGCCAGACTGCCAGCATCTCCTCATACATCGTCTTAGTCTTGAAGACGCAACATGTGGCTGCCGATGGAACCGTGTCCCATATCCACACCTGCGTCAAACGGTTGTCTCCTGTTTTCTTTCCTTGCAACCAGAAAAGAGAAAAAGAAAGAGAGAGAGAGTCGAACGTCGAACGCATCCCAGATAGACGCTGTTAACAAGACATTGAGGAGAATCAAGCAAGTCTACGAATGCCTCGTCCGAGTCTCGTCTCGTCTCCATCGCCTATCTGCCGGACGACGTATTTTCCGGTCTGGGCATTCTTGGACGACGCTCTAGAGCCTTCAGGAATAAAAGTAGTCAGATGTCGTACGTACGGAGTACATATTCGTACATGCACGGGACAGACATTTGCTCTGCCCTGTCAACCACCCGCCGTGAACCCGACACGATCCTGGCCACGGCCTACAGGGAGCCATCCTTTGTGTCTCTTTCGAGCCAGGGTGACTGGAAGTGCTATCGATCCAACGTCCCAGACGACATGCCATGCCACCATGGATGCGACCGAGCTTGAGTCTGATCAGGTCCATTCGTTTTGATCACGCACTCATGGGTAGAATGCGAGTGCCCGTCAATTCGAACCTCCATCGTTGCTTTGTCTCCCGGACTTGGATCGGTCTCGGACAAATCTACGGCGGGTTTATTACCAACCAAGTCTCCTCTGCTCTTGGTAAGCTCATATTGGCGTGGATCTGGCAGCTGGAGGTTTACCGAATCAAGGACCAAGCTTTGCTTCGGGAAAACACAAAGTTGCGATGAGACAGTTACCCTCGAAACATTTCATCATCTGCAATACTCGGGAGTGGCAGTCATCCGGCTTCCGCTGACCAAAAGTCATCAGATGTCCAAACCTCATTCCTGGATACGCAACCAGCCATCTGTCTACACACTCTGCAGCCACTTCTCGAAGCCCCATCCTGCCGACGGAAAAGGAAGTATGAGACATGGCATGAGCAAGAAAAACGTTGTCGTTGCTGGCCGCCGTTGTAACTTGTGTCCATTAGCTCACTAGCCAAGGAATCTCGACCTGCAGTCGTCTCAAAAATTCGATGGCGGCGGCTCCGAGTTTAATTTTATGACCTCGAGTCGCTACCGAGGCTGCCGACAGTCTACAAAGGAGGACCCAGCTTTCTCAGTGCACCACCTAGTTCGTATGCCCTAGGTACTCAAAGCCTCCTGCTTATCCGCGCTCGTCTGTTCGTCCGGATGGCTCTCTTTCCAAAGTCAAATTCAGCCGATCGCCCGGAGAAGCACGTTCTGTCCTCGTTTTTCGGCACATCTTGCATGGCAGACCAAAGTCTGGGTGGCGTTTACTTCAGAGCTTCCAACATTTCAGCCGATGTTGAGAACTCGCAGCCCCGGGCAACGAAAACATGCAGGACACCTCAGCGAGAGGCTGGGCTGAGTGCCATGGTGCAGCAATTGGATGGCGGGTGCAGCTGAAGCCTGAGAGGATGGGGTACCGCATCGGTAACGAGAACCTTGAAGGCAGACGACGCAGTGCGACATTCGAGTAGCTCATACCGCTACGCTACTCCGCATGAAGAAAGAACCAAGCCGCCCCGAGTATGATTACCGCCAAAGAGGGTGTGCGGCCAGGGGGAAATGGACGATGGACGCCACCCAACGACACTAATCCCAATGGGCGATTCCTTCAAAGGGTTCAATTCAGGACCAAGAGAGACAATGGCGAAATCCCCCGGGGCCGTGGACCATGTCGTGCACTTGTACCGAGAACGAGAGAGCCAGCCATCACTTGCTGGAGGATCCAAGAAAATAGCATCGGCGGAAACGAAGGCGTCTCTCATCTCCCGTTTTACCATCCGGTCTTTTGGGTAGGGTTTACGCAGCACGCGGGCTTGGACCAGAGTTCAGCAGGACGGCGGATGACGAACAAACGAACAAACGACCGCTATGCGTTCCTCAGACATGGCAGTAGAGCGATCTCCGGGCCATCCCATCGTCATCCCAAGCTGCCCATCCAATGCCATGCAGCCCAAAACCCTCGAATCCTCAATACCATTCCCCCCTTCGCGTCTTTTCTCCGCACACACCCCCTTCCCCTGGATCCCTGACCCTGAACCCCTGGGCCCAGAGAATTCTAGCAGGGCGAACCAGGGAAAAATTGCATAGCAAAGAGGCAAGGCAGCTGTGCAGGTATGCTGGCAGCGGGCCGACCAGGCTGTGAAGTCACAAGTGAAAGGAACGGTGGTGGGCTGGCTCGACATTTCGCGTGAAGCGCTGCCTCAAGCCCACTATTTCCAGCAACTATTGCTTGGTCTCTCCACTCTCCTAATAAAAATAGGCCCTGCGACTGGGTGTTGGAACCAGGGAAGTGCGTCGATGTGGGAGAAAGCAGACCAGACTCACAAAGCCCAGAGTCCCAGAGCAGCAGACCATCAGCAGGAACTGGAAAAATGGCCCACCAAGAACGCAGGACGCGGGACGCGGGACATGGGATGCAGAAGTGAGGAGAGGAGCAAAGCAAAGCAGAGCAGAGAGCAGAGGAGAGCATCGACCTTTCATATTTTCTCTCCTGGAGACCTGGAGACCTGGACTGGCCCTGCTCACGTTCTTTCTGACATGCCCCTGTTTGGTCGACGGGGACCCTCACACTTGGCTGGCCTGCGTTAGACTTAGCCGTGCCTTTTTGGCTCTTCTCTCGCTCACTCACTTTCTCTTGCCTTGCCTAATTCCTTACTGATCGGATCGCCTCCTCCTTTCCACATTCCCACCCGCCCACCGTTCGCTCCAAGTCTCCAACCTCTCGTTGTCTGCTTCGCCGACCCTCGCTGCTGCTGCCATCATTTGTTGCATATCATTTCGTGTTGTGCCCATCCATCCCACGACTTGACTTTGTTTCTGTTTATTCATTCGTTCTTCATATCCTAATACCCCAGTTTCCATCCTCCCCATCGCATCGCATCGGCGAACCCCCCCTAGCCCGCCCGCTTGTCCATCATCTCCATCGTCTCTGGCCTTGTACAGCCCGGGTCCAGCTTTTTTTTTGCATCTCTTTGCGTTTGGATAAAAAAGTTTGAATGAGATCATACGGCTTTTGGTTTCACGTCCTCGCATGCGCTCTATAGACTAATATTCGTCTCGTCGCCTTCTCGACTGTTCGCCGTCTCATTCTGTCTCGTTGGACAGACCCCTTGGGTAAGCCATCTTCAAGCCATTCCTTTCGTCCTCCCTCATTCCTCAGCCCACCGGCCCAGGCCTATACATAGCTGCGCTCCCCCTTCGGATTCGCGACATCACGGCGCGCGAGAGAGCGGGAGAAGCATTGCATTGCTGTTGAGAGCCCAGGTCCATCGCTAAGGCTGCTGGCGGCTACCATTTCCGCAATACCCTCATTCCCCATCTTCCCGTCTCCTCGGTCCCCACGAGTGGCACACATACCTAGCTCAGTCGCATACTGGAGACACTCTTTGCGATACCTCACACACGCGCACAAGTCAACCAACGACGGATCGCAGTTGCAGCTGACACTCTGGATTCTTTCCGCTACGCAGTATCGCCTCGCTTGCCGCACTTTGGTGTCACTCCGCACCGAGTACTGACGCGAGCCACAAACAAAGCCCTCCCGAATCTCAGCTATCTGTCGTCATCCCACATCGGCTGACCCGCCTCGTATCGCTTTTTTTTTTTCTGCGCTGCGGCCCCAGCCCAAGGCGAAGGACAGCCAGCCCCCAAAGATTTATCCTTACGAAGCCCGCTTCTCGAACTACTCGGCGTGTAAACACGCAACGTTTCTGTCCCGCAGGGAAATACGAATAGCGGTTCATCCATATGCCTAGATTCTCCGTCTCTTTCGGCAGGCGGCGATCGACCGTCAACTCGGAAGAGTTCCATGATGAGCCGGTAGAGACAACGACCAAGGAAAGGCCGACTTCCTTCCGTGTCTTAGAAAGGACCGAAGTTGGAATTGGAGCAGGACAAAAGTCTTTTGACGGTGGTCACAGGCTGCTCAAGGCAACCACGATGGCAATTCCTCCCAAGCAATACTCGGACCTGTCTCTCGAGGACAACAACATATTTGCAGACGTGAAGAACAACCGGTATGTGTGCATCTATCCATTTTCCTTTGAATCACGTTTCCATTTTAGAACACATTCTTGGCCTTGAAGGGCAGGAGGAGGTGGGATTGAGAAAGCAAGAAAACGAGACCTTGAAAGCAAGCAGCAAAAAGAGGGTTGGCATGCATTCCACAGCGGCATGTCTCGGACTCAGCGGCGGATTGTTGCCCTGCTAGTGGTCTTTTTTTACTTGCTGTCTCGATTTCCCTCCCCTGTCTGCAATTCATTTCAGGGCCATGGCAAGGATTGTGTCTAACGTCGACTGACTCAGCTTAAGGGGAAGTGGGTCATCTAATACCACCAAAACAACCTCGACAGATACTTCATCGCGCCACAGCAACGTCTCAACCACACCGTCTTCGGCTGACCTCGGCCACCAAGGGGCTCAGGAAGAATGGAAACCCTCGATTAGAAAATCACAGACCGAAGTCCCAGCTCCCAAGCACAGCTCTGGTGGGTTCCTTAGCAAAGCCGGCAGAACCTTTTCCTTTGGCGGTCAAAAGAAGAATCAAGTCCCCGTTGACGATCATCCTCTACCTCCTCCGCCCTTGCCTCCCCAGGCGTCGCTGGAGGACGACCATAATACCCGCAGACCGAGAGGTTTGACAGATTCCACCGACAGAACTGCCACGCCTCCCAAGCTCAGCGAGGAGGACTTTGCCCTCGACTTTGGCAGTAATTTTGGTAATATGTTCAAAGGTTCCGGGTTCGACAAAAGAGCTAGCCAAATGACGCTTCCCGGCAACGACAAGTCCAACATGGGACCCCGTTCCCTCACGACAAACCGAGTCAATCAACCTCAGCCGTCGCCCATCAAGATTGACAAGTCCATCAAAGTCGAGGCCTCGCCTTATTCATGGAGCAGTCAACACTCTAATGATAATTTGCTGCACTCCGGTTCCAACTCTCCCCCGGCTACTGCACCACCCCCAGTGCCCCGGCACGGCTCACCACTGGCCTTCCGCAACAATGTGCCATCCGATATCATCGAAGACGAAGATGCAAACCTTCTGAAGGATTCGGTGGCAGCTAGTCGATTTCTTGGCAGTTCCGGTCAGCCTAGCAACCCGTCTCCACCCGGGAGATTCCGCAGAAATGAAGATGCATTCTCCACAGCGTGGGATGCAACGGACAGCAAGAAGGAGGAGGAGAATATGTTCGATAACAGCAGAGCACAACCGCCGAAGCCACCCGCGAACACGCAACGCTACATCAACAACAACAATCACAGCCCGCCCCGAAACAAAGTTATGACTCCCGCCGAGTTCGAGAAGTACCGTCGAGACAAGGAACGCGATGACAACACGAGCGAAACGGTCAAGGCCTCCGACGACAACCGCGATGACGATGAGGATCAGTATGATGACGACGAGGATGACATTGAAAAGGCGAAGCTAGCAGCCAAGCAAAGGAAGAAGCAGGAGGCTCACATGGCCGTCTACCGACAGCAGATGATGAAGGTGACGGGCGAGAACCCGATGGCCGGCCCTTCCGGGCATGCTACCCGACCAAATCTATCGGTGTCGCTCAGCACCCCCAACCTCGGAAACCTGACCGTCCCCGCGGGTCCACTGACGGGCAGGTCAGACGGCTCCGAGGGAGAGGAGGACGAAGAAGTGCCGCTTGCCATTTTGGCTGCACACGGATTCCCAAACAAGAACAAGCCGCCTGCTCGACTCATGAACATGGCTTCGAACCCTGATTTGCGTGCATCCGCTCAGAACCAGCCCCAGCCTGCGAGACCGGGGTCGAGCATGGGCGAGGGAACAGGGCCGAGGGGAACAAGCGGTGGTCACCTTCCCGCCTTTGCGAGGAAGCTCCCGCAAGACCCGTTCTTGGGTGCTGGTCTCATCAACGGACCGCCACGCGAGTCTCTTACGTTTGGAGGAGGCTCTCCCGCCCCCGGTGCCCAGCAGCCAGCCGTCGTGGGCGGCCTTGTCGGTGTTATCGCTGGCGAGGAACGAGCCCGGGCTATGCGCAGAGGTAGCCCCAACGTTGAGGCTAACGTCGATCCCTTCACAGGAGCACCGGTTGGCCCTGGCAACGGAGTTCCGGCCTCCATGGTATACAGCAACATGAACGGAATGAACGGCGGAATGGGTGGTATGGGAGGCATGCCGCAGATGCAACAGATGCAGCAAATGCAACAGATGCAGCAGATGCAGCAGATGCAGGGAATGCCCGGAATGCCCGGAATGCCCGGAATGCCTCAGATGCCCCAGATGATGCTTACACCAGGAGACCAGGCACAGATTCAAATGACCCAGCAGATGCAGCAGTTTATGCAGATGCAGATGCAGTTCATGCAGATGATGGCGACTCCAGGTGGTCAGAACATGAACGCCATGAACGGAATGAATGGCATGCAAAGACCGATGAGCCATGTCGGAACACCCTCCGTCCACGACAGCCAGCGCCAGTCCTACTTTGGAGATTCCATGCTGGAGCCCCCTCGACTCGACCCCCGAACGAGAACCATGAGCATGGTGCAGCCAAGCTCCTCTTCATGGATTCAACCTCCCGGAGGAGGATTTGCTCCATCTATTCACGGAGGCATGGGTGGTGGTGGGTACGCACCCAGTATTCACGCCCAAGGTGCCGGGTATGCTCCCTCGATCGCACCCTCGGAACGCAGCAACGTGGGCTTACCAGGCCGTTACAGACCCGTAACGCAAGCGCCCCAATTGGACTCTGGCCGACGCATGTCGGTCATGTCGGGAGCCATGGGATGGGACCAGCCTCCCAAGGTCGTCCAGCAGCAGGAGAACAAGTTGCCTGACAAATCCAACAGCAACTCGGACGATGACGACGAAGAGGGCTGGGCCGCGATGAAGGCCAAGAAGGAGAAGAAGCGGGGACTGTGGAGGACGAAGAAGAGCATCGGCAGTGAAATTGGAGCACTCATCTCTTGAAGGTACACAAAATGACGATGCCACATGGATAAAAGGGGGATGAGAGAAGAGGTGGGATATTGGAACACGACAAAAAAAAGACTGGACATATTACCAAAAAGGAACACAGACACATCACGCAACTCATTTAAGGCGTGTTTGGGTTCTCTTTTCGATCTAGGGTTTGGTGTAGGGTAATCTTTCGGCGCACCCTCATCAAGTGTACATTCTGGGAGAATCTGTTTGCCGGGCGTCGCTGCGGGAGTGAAAGAGCAAGATGAAAGGACTTGGTTATTGTTTACAAAGTCATGATAGACAGCTCTTGGTGCCATAATCAACTAATGTTGGAGAAAAAAACTTGAAGATGAGCCCTTTTTCGTTGCCTAGACCATGCTTGCGCTGTGTTTGGTGTACGCAACCTACTCAGGGGCCCCGAAAGTTTGTTCACTCGATCATTGGCTTCAGGTTCTACCAGTAGATGTTGATGTGTTTTCAAATGGCAAGTAAATTTCAATGGGTCGATCTCTATCCACGACAGACCCTTGGTATGATTTGTTTCGTTTCTCTTTTGTGTCCCCTTTTTCGGGTTCTTTTACTTTTTTTTTTCCAGCAAACGTCTAAAACCCAAAGAGCTTCCCCTTGCCAATCCCTTTCACCTCAAAGACGCAGCAGTTGTGTCAAATGGGAGTTTTCTTCCTGACAAACGGGGAATTCCTCTTTCTTTCCCTCTTTACCTTCACTCCATCTTGCCCGCAGCCCACGCCTTGCGCTTGACGCCGAGCTCGACGGCGGCCAGGCCCCAGTCCTCGCCGTGGTTGTGACCGCCGGCCGTGAGCCCGGCGCGGGCCTGAGCCTGCTCGTCGCTGAGGACGGTCAGGACGCCAAAGATGACGGGGACGCCCGTGTCGAGGCCGACGCGCATGAGGCCCTGGGAGACGGCGTCGGCAATGTACTCAAAGTGCATCGTCTCGCCCTTGATGAGGACGCCGACGGCGATGATGGCGTCAAATGGCTGGCCGCTGGCGGTTTCGGTGGGGAGGGAGGTCAGGTCCGTGGTGGAGGCGCCGAGGAGGTCGCCGGCCGAGGTGCCGGTGCCGGATTGTGCGGATTGGACTTGGGAGGCTTGGTAGAGTCTGTGGGTTTGGGGGGTTGGTCATTGTCAGCCAAGTAGCTTCTGGAATGGATTGCGAAAGCGGAAGTTCCGAGCCCCAGCCATTTTGCTTGTACGACTGCTTTGCCGTTGACTCACCTCTGGACGGAGATGGGGAGCTCCCAAGCTCCCGGGACGGACTGGACGACGATGCTGGACTCCTTTACGCCGCAGGCGAGGAGCTTCTCCTTGGCGCCCTTAACGAGGGGTTCGATGATGGACGAGTTCCAGCGGGCGTGGACGATACCGATGCGCAGGGCGCTGCCGTCGTGCTGTTGCGGGGTAGGTCCCTTGATGTCGGACATTTTGAGTTGAATGGGTTGGTGGTGATTTGGGAAGAGGAAGGGTATCCAGACGTTTGTGATCGTGGTCGCGGTAAGTGAGTGGGCGGGCAGCTCTGTAGTTTTTTGGCGGGGTGGTTTGAAGATGGCAAGTGGTGGGATGAACAGCAATGCTTCTTGGGAGCTGGGAAGAGCTACGTAAGATGCGGGTTTTGGCTTAGGAATCGCTTAGCATGACTTGTGTTTGTATTACGGGATACACAGTAGCAAGGCGGGCGGGCGGGCTTCCAGGAACGAGGACCTTGCGATGCGGGGCAGAGCGGTTTGAGGTGCTTGCGTGCCTTGCACCTGCGAAGGGGAGCTGCGGGGCTCGGCGCCCTGGGAATTGACTGCAGGAAACAGTACCTTAGCTTTGGCACGGGCGGTTGCTCTCATTAAGGCTATCGACTGGGACCAGCTGGCAAATCGGCCGTCGTGTTCTTGGACGGGAAGGGACGACTTACACACCTACTTCCTACGCTTGCTGTTGAGTACGTCCAGTCTCTTCGTGTTGCCTTTCTCCCAAGTCCAGATCAGCCGGATTCTTCTAACCTTCGTAACACCATCATCTTGACAATTTTCCTTGTCGTTCTTCTCACATCGTCGTGTCCATATTGTCTGTCCCTTACTATCTAGTAATATCTTCTCCCTTTCGGGGCACCTGCTCTTGTCTTAGACGTCTGCGCCGATCTCTTTGAGCCCTGTGTTCGTGCAGGATGTCAATATCTCAGCTACCTCAAGCTACTGTTCGTCAGCTTGGCTCCTCTGTCGTCATCCCATCTCCTGTGTCACTTGTCAAGGAACTCGTAGACAATGCTATTGACGCCAATGCAAACCATATCGAGATCAGAACTTCCGCAAACGCAATAGACAAAATCCAGGTCAGAGACAACGGTCACGGTATTAGCTCAGAAGACTACGATGCTCTTGGACGCCGGTCCCACACCAGTAAGCTTCGGACTTTCGAGGAGCTTCAATGCAAGGGAGGCCAAACACTCGGCTTCCGCGGCGATGCCTTGGCAAGCGTAAATGCCGTCTCGAAGCTTACCATCACGACGAGAACGACCCGTGATCCAGTGGCGGTCTTGCTGGTACTAAACCCCAAGGGCGGTGGATTTACGGATAAGAAGCATGTTGCGGGCTCCGTTGGGACTACCGTCGACGTCTCGGACTTGTTTGCCAACATTCCGGTTCGCAGGCAACAAATTCTGAAGGAGAGCAAGAAAACATACGCACAGATCAAGGACCTCCTACAGGTATACGCACTCACTCGACCTCACATTAGACTCTGCTTAAAGGTCATCAAAAATGACAAGCTGTCGTGGTCTTATGCTCCAAGCAAAGACGGTGGCGTACGAGAGGCAGTTCTCCAAGTCTTTGGATCCGAACTAGTTTCGCAATGCGTCTAGAAGACGTTCAGTGGAACCACTCCTGCGATCTTAGCAACGAAACCGGGAAGACCAGACACACCAGCATCCGTCATGAGACTCGAAGCTTTTCTCCCGAGAGCTGATGCCGATCCCTTGAAGGTGTCTGGCAAAGGTTACTTCATTTCCGTTGACTCGAGACCTATGGCTACCACAGGGGGCACGATGAAGAAACTTGTCGATATTTACAAAAATCACCTGCGCGGCTGTGTCGTTCTTGACAATTCTTCCAAGTCCATTCCCAAGCCCTTCATACGCTTGAATGTCGAATGCAGGCTCGGAAGCTACGACCCCAACGTAACCACGGCCAAAGACGAGGTCATCTTTGCAAACGAGCCAAAATTACTGTCCCTATTCGAAGACATGTGCAAGGAGATATACCGAGCAACCGAGCCCGACATAACAGCTGAAGTGGTCACGGAAAGTCACCAAGGTGCATACGAGCGAGCTAGACATCAAAGTCCGGATCTTCTTCCAGACGACGACGAAGAGAACTATGACCTCCTGCAAGAATTGGTCTCGGTCGACGGGAAGAGTCAGGAAAGAGTATTGACCGGCCTGGGTTCCCCTGAAAGTGGACAGCAGCTGCCAGAACCCCCCGATAGAGAGCATTCACACGGTCGTAAAGCCGTGCCTGGGGCAGTGGAAGATCTGAGTTGTCCCGCTTCTGTGGATCACAGTCCAATAGGTATCGAGTACAGCACTGTCATAGACAGTTCCCCTTCCTCAGACCCAGGGCAAGCACGAATTGGCCGAGGAGATGAGGGGGATACTCAGGAGGCAGTGCTCACCCAGACCCTCCTTCGGACTGGTTGGGAAGTGAATATGGCTAGAGAAGAGACTGCCAGTCCAGAGGGTCAAACACAGCTGGTTCTTCTGGGGCCTCCCAGCACTGACGTACACGAGTTCATCCAGTCACAAATGGAACAGCAGACACAAAGAGAGGAACCAAACCCGTGGTCTTTGGCCAGGAAGGCGTCAGCAAACCATTCGGCTCGCCGCGAAGATATATCTGGCCTCCAATACACGGGCGAACAAAGGGATGGCGATACAACTCCTCGCCAGCAAGCCCATGCCCCCAATTTAGCAGATGCTATGCAAGAAGCCGATGAAGTAGACAGCCAAGAGATCGAAGATCGAGAATTTTCTCGTCAGCAGAAATCCCAACCCCATTGGGTACCTGCAGCAGCAAGGGAGGGTATTTACGAACCAGAGACCTTGAAACCACCGATACTACAACACCCTACCGCCCCACTGACAAGTCATCAGATTCCAAGACACCGGGAACAGCGAAGAATTCCAAGAGATGAGGAGGCATTCCATTCGTCTTTTACTGAACACGAAATCGAAGACCTGGAAATAATACCGCAGAGGGGCCCAGGTGTTCGCCAACGCATCGGTGCCAAGACGCCGTATCCCTTTGCGGATCTTGACGAGAGTAGTGTGCTTGGCACGCCTCCTCCGTCTTCCAGTCCATTGCGAAAGCCATTCCGAGTACCTGCCCGCATTGAACAAGGTAGCAACCGTCATGGACGACAGGCACCGCTGAGGCCTGCCCAGGCTGCTCGGAGATTTGAGCCTCGTAGGGCAGACGGACTGAGACAAAGCAAGCTTGCCGTTAACACGCGAATAGATATACAGCACCCGGAGCTCAAGGATACATCAGGTTATTGCTTTCCTTCAATTGAGTCCAGAAGAGATAACTACAATGATGATGTCGAAGAGACGAGGAAGTCAAAACATCGGTATAAGCAAGCCAGCCCAGATCCAAACGAGAGGCAGATGTTGGAGAGATTGAACGCTCTACGCCACAGAACTGAAGACGTGTATGTCGAAATTTCAGGTGAAGAACGCGGAAGATCACTCTCTCGAAGAGCTACAACCACCCTGCCAGATATGTCTCCGCGAAGATACCTGAAGAAGAGACTGGCATCTAGGTCCAGGTCGAGAATCAAGATACATAAGAGAATGAGATCTGAGATGCTTCCATTTGAGAAGCTTTTCTCTGAGCCTCACACCCAAACACACTCACTTGCACTTGATCTACAACATTTGCGGCAGGAGGTTACCAATGCGTCTGATTTTGATCTTTACATCTCCAGAGGCATCCAGGAAGTGGCGTTT